GCATTCCAGAGGAGTTAATGCTTTAGCTGGGTGTTGAGTAATGAGTTTCATTAACTAGGCAATGGAGGAAGGTATGCTGGAAGGAAAGACATTTTAGACATGGGAAGTACTACACGTGAAAGCCAAGATGAATGAGGTTATATGAAGTATTGGGGAAGTGCATGCACTTCAAAACTGTGGAAGGAGAGCATGTTGTAAGCGAACAACGGCAATACAGGAAAGGCAGTAAAACACTGATGGTTATTCCGAGGAAGTGGGATTTTATCATAGAAAATGATGAGCCATTAAAGGAAATATATAATCTGATTTTTGTGTTAGAAAGACCACTTTCTTGTCATTGTGAGAAGTAGCATGAGGTAAATTCACAAGCAGGGAGGAGACCATGTGAAGGATGAAGGTCTAAGCCAAGGCAATGGTCATGGTGACTAGAGAGAAAAGGAGGTAGATTTGAGAATTCCTAAGGAGGAATACTAAATAGAAGTGGGAGGAAATTTGACTTGGTGAGTGAGGGAGAAGGAAGAGTCTGGAATTTTTGCGTATTTTAACCTTGGTAGGGAGTTAGGATTGCTGTTTGCTCAGACACGGATAATAGGAGAAAGAGAGATGAAGATTACTTTAATTTAAGGTAATGTATAAATGTGGTGGTGCTGTGGTCAACCTGTGCAACACATGTTTGTGGCAGTTGGGTCAGAGCTGGGCCGGAGATACAGTTAGGGGATTCACTGTCATGTAGGTGGAACTGACTCCCTGTGAATAGGTGTCATCTCCCTGGAAAACTGCAGAAAGGTAAAGGACCTCTAAGGGTCAATGAAAGAAGAAGAGAAGCCTATGAAGAAGACTGAGGGCTCTCTGCTCCTGTCCATTCCAGACAGCCGCATCCTCTTGCGCAGTGCCAGCCACATCCCCGAGACACGATGGTGAAGGTCAGAGTAAATGGATTTGGCCATATTGGGTGCCTGGTCACCAGGGCTACTTTTAACTCTGGCAAGGTGGATATTGTTGCCGTCAATGACCCCTTCATTGACCTCAACTACATGGTCTACATGTTCCAGTATGATTCCACCCATGGCAAGTTCCGTGGCACTGTCAAGGCAGAGAATGGGAAGCTTGTCATCAACGGGAAGGCCGTCACCATCTTCCAGGAGCGAGATCCCGCCAACATCAAATGGGATGATGCTGGTGCTGAGTATGTCGTGGAGTCCACTGGTGTCTTCACAACCTTGGAGAAGGCTGGGGCTCACTTGAAGGGTGGAGCCAAAAGGGTCATCATCTCTGCCCCTTCTGACGCCCCCTTGTTTGTGATGGGTGTGAATCACAAGAGCTATGAAAACACCCACACGATCGTCAGCAATGCCTCCTACACCACCAACTGTTTAGCCCCCCTGGTCAAGGTTATCCATGACAACTTTGGCATCGTGGAGGGACTCATGACCACAGTCCATGCTGTCACCTCCACCCAGAAGATGGTGGATGGCCCCTCCGGGAAACTGTGGCACAATGGCTGTGGGGCTCTCAAGAACATCATCCCTGCATCTGCTGGTNCTGTCAAGGCAGAGAATGGGAAGCTTGTCATCAACGGGAAGGCCGTCACCATCTTCCAGGAGCGAGATCCCGCCAACATCAAATGGGATGATGCTGGTGCTGAGTATGTCGTGGAGTCCACTGGTGTCTTCACAACCTTGGAGAAGGCTGGGGCTCACTTGAAGGGTGGAGCCAAAAGGGTCATCATCTCTGCCCCTTCTGACGCCCCCTTGTTTGTGATGGGTGTGAATCACAAGAGCTATGAAAACACCCACACGATCGTCAGCAATGCCTCCTACACCACCAACTGTTTAGCCCCCCTGGTCAAGGTTATCCATGACAACTTTGGCATCGTGGAGGGACTCATGACCACAGTCCATGCTGTCACCTCCACCCAGAAGAGGGTGGATGGCCCCTCCGGGAAACTGTGGCACAATGGCTGTGGGGCTCTCAAGAACATCATCCCTGCATCTGCTGGCGCTGCCAAGGCCGTGAGCAAGGTCATCCCTCAGCTGAATGGGAAGCTCACTGGCATGGCCTTCCGTGTCCCCTCTGCCAATGTGTCAGTTGTAGATCTAACCTGCCATCTGGAGAAGGCTGCCAAATATGAAGACATCAAGAAGGTGGTGAAGAAGGCATCAGAGGGCCCCCTGAAGGGCATCCTGGGCTACACTGAGGACCAGGTTGTCTCCACCGACTTCAACAGTGACGCACACTCTTCCACCTTCGACGCTGAGGCTGTGGGCTCCCTAAAGGGCACCTGGACTACACTGAGGACCCGATTGTCTCCACCAAGTTTAACAGTGACTTGTACTCTTCCACCTTCGATGCTGGGGCTGGCATTGCCCTCAATGAGCACTTTGTTAAGCTCATTTCCTGGTATGACAATGAGTATGGCTACAGCAACAGAGTGGTGGACCTTATGGTTCACATGGCCTCCAGGTAGTAAGAACTCCCAGGACCACCAGCCTCAGCAAGAACACAAGAGGAAGAGAGAAGCCCTCAGCTGCTGGGGGGTCCCTGTCCCAACTCAGTCCCCCAACACACTGAGAATGTCCCCTCCTTGGCAGTTTCCATCCCAGACCCCCTAAAGAAGGGGTGGGGCCTAGGGAGCCCTACCTTGTCATGTACCATCAATAAAAGTCCCTTGTACAGAGCCAAGAAAAAAAAAAAAAAAAAAAGAAGAAGACTGAGAAGGAATGGTCAGTAAACTGTGAGGAAAACCAGGAGAGAATGGTATCTTGATATGAGAAAGGAGGAGCAAGTTTCATGCAAGATGTAGTGTAGGGGAAGAGATAGTGAGCAAGCAAGTGGAGACTATGATTTGGGATGTTTGGATAAAGAGGTAGAAACCATGAGTTTGTAGTAGGTGCTGCCTAAATTTGCCAGTTTCAGATGCTAAAACTTTTGAGTTGAAAGGACTGTGTTCAAATCACTTTGTTTCATCACGTGTTAATAATATAACAACAAAACAGGGCTGACAACTGTCCCAAAGGAGAGCTGGGAGAATTAAATAAGTCACTGTTGTTATCCTCAGTCTTCATTTCACCTTGGATGGTTAAAAATCAGTGTGTAGAGAGGGATAAATATTTATCCAACTAAAGTAATGGCTTGAGGAGTTCAATCTGGGTATCATGAAATTCTGATTAATGGGTTCTTTTGCATAGGATGAAGTTTTGCCCTCCCAATTCTTTATTCAGGAATAAATGCCGTTTTTTCATCTCATAGATATTTATTGTACTTCTCTTATGTGCAGGCACTAAACTAGTTGTTGAGGGTACAGTGATGATTCAAACATTGTTTCTACTTTCAACAGTCTTATGATCTAGTGAGGTAATGGAGATAATAAGAAGACAATTATTCTAAGATATGGCAGAAGTAAGAGGGAGAGATGCACACAGAGCAGAGGAGAGGCAGTGGGGAGTAGGAGTGAAGTTCAAGAAAGGCTCCGGGTAGGGAGAGTAGAGGCAGGCATGTCTTAGGCTTCTGTGTGGGTGGCTGTGTTTGTGGTGTCACACTTGAGAGAGCATGGGGGAAGATGATGAGTTTTTCATTTGGTTTTCTCCTAACACAATCAACTAATTTATCAGATATTTCCTTTTTTTTTTTGTAGATAATTCCATGGTAATTCTTCTTCCATCACTACTTTAACACTATAGCTGTTAGATGTCTAGATCTTTTCTATTCCCTATGAAGAGTAGACCTTGCTTTTTAAATTTCTGTTTATGCCTAACTCTCCGTTTTCTTTCTTATTTATTTTTTAACCTCCAGGAAGAACCTAGGAAAGTCCGCTTTGATTATGACTTATTCCTGCATCTTGAAGGCCATCCACCAGTGAATCACCTCCGCTGTGAAAAGCTAACTTTCAACAACCCCACAGAGGACTTTAGAATAAAGTTGCTGAAGGCAGGAGGGGTGAGTGACACTCCTGTGAAAAGCTCTTCTATAAAAAACTAGTTGCTAGTACGTTAAGAAGTATAATAATGTTTTGGGAAAGATAAAGAAGATGAAGTACCTTAACGGTTTATCTGTGGACTGACTCATGGTTTGAGCTGAAGAGGTAGGCAAACAATAATATTTTAAGTAGGTATGAGTCAGATTATACTGTTATTTGGAACAGGCTTAAGATCTATGTAGTTCAAATTTATTTTGACAGAAGCCAAAAACAGGGAATAAACTATCCTCGATTAAGAAAAGAACAATGTCTGGACCTTATTATATCAGTTTATAGACACTTTTGGGTAAAGTTGAAAGTCACATTAAAAAATATGTATAAAAGAGTTATTGTACAAATTTTCTTGATCATAGTTAATGGAAAAGGTGTATTCGCTTATATTACATGTTTGAATCATTTAAATACACATTTTTGTTTGTTCAATTGTATGTAGGTAAAAGTTGGACTTTCTTTTTTAAGATAATGGTATCAAAAAGGTGTGGTCAATTTTTGCCCTCACGATTTGGCTAGGATGGGAAAAGATTTTAAATGGAGCTTCTTGCAAACATAAGCACTTGGAATGTTTGCCACTATGTCAGCTGTCAGACAAACACTACTGATTGGTCAAAATCTACTTTAAAGTGGGTGTCATTGGGGATCATCAGCACCTACTTCAGATGAACTTCTCTGTTGTCTTATGTGGGCAATGCAGACCCATCTATTTTGAAATGTGTTCTTTACTCCAGGATCCTCTTCACTTGGTTTTTCTGGAAGGTTTTTGTTTAGTTTTGTGTCCATAAGGATTTTTTCTATAAGCATGTGTAGACTATAACCTGTCAAAATGCTTCATTTCACTGATAAACTGTATCTGAAGGCTTTGTGGGAAAGAGTTGAGTTTTATGTTTTACGTGGCCCAGAAGTTTTTTCCTTTTATGAGATCATGGACAACCACTTTGAGTATCTCAGAAAAACTGTGGACGTTCTCTTAGAAAATTGCCCATATATATCATTGTGTGAACGTTTGGGATTATGTGGACCTCCTTTTTTTGAATCCTGTTTTGTCAGGATCCTATCTTTTTAACTGAACTAATAAACTAATACACATATGAAGCTTTGCAAGTACTTTTACCACATTTCATTTCTTACTGTGCTGTATGTCAGTAGATTATGAGTTAAATAGGTATTGGTGGGCCAGCTTAAGAAATGAACCACCACTTAGAGTACATATTGATGAAATGGATCTTCATGAAGAAAAAATAGATTTTTGTAACACAACTCATTTTAAAGGTAGGAACTTATATGTTTATTAAGGAAGCTGCTTTTAAAAATAACCTTATTTTATTCTTTTTACAGTTATCAAGAGTACAGTGTTGATGCTATCTATTTATCTATTGCCCTTAATAATCAGCTGGTCCGTTTTAAATCCTAATTGTGCTTATTATTTTTCTTTTTATGAGGTGGCATTTTAGGCTTTTGATTATTCCTCTTGGGTATCTAGTTGAGTAGGTAATTGGAGTGTGTGAATTATGGAACTTGAGTACATTAGGCTTCTGATAAGGGTCATAGGAAAAAGTAAATATGACGCAAGAACTTTTTAAAGCAATCACTTAGTCCCCAAGTGCTCAAAGTTTGTTTGTGAGCTGGAGGAGAGGTCAGAGGTCAGTGATAATACAGCATAGTGCAGCACCGCATCCTGATAAGGTCTGTAGTCAATTTGTCTGTTGCTCCACTTGGCCATTATCTCAGAATGATCTTCCATGACTTCTCTTCTTTGTGTTTCTTTAAGTGGTGTTTGAAGATATCAGAATTAGATTGTATCCTGACAACTCTAAAATAATAAGTTGAAATGTGAAATATTCCAAGCATGTGCTTTTTGACATAAGTTCTTTAAGGGGCTGATTCTATTGAATTTTGTAGTAAAATAAAAATTTAAAAACTCGGGCCGAGCCCGTGGCGCACTCGGGAGGGTGCGGCGCTGGGAGTGTGGTAGCGCTCCCGCCACAGGTTCGGATCCTATATAGGGATGACCGGTGCGCTCACAGCGCTCACTGGCTGAGCGCGGTGCGGCCGGTCTCAAAAAGGACCAAAAAAAAAATTTAAAAACTCATTTGAAGTTGTAGTAATCCCACATATTTTTTCTATTTCATATGGGAGAATTAAAATAACCATCTATAGAAATTTAAAAAAATAATAGACTAATAAACGTTTTTGGCTTACTTAGATTTTTTTACTTACCTTATATTATTTTTATCTGACGTATAAACATTAATCATTGTCTTAGTATTAATGCAACCTATCATGGTGTTACTAAGTTATGAGCCATTATGATTTTACTGGAAATCTTCTATTCACGTTTTGTCTCTTCAGCTAAGCTTTTTTTTTTTTTTGGCTGTATTTTGGAGTGGGTGAGGGGGTACTGTTTTCTTTATACCTAGAGATTACCTGTATGACATAGATGTAAATGTTCTACCTTAAAAGGAAAAAAGTTGAACCCTTCTTCATATGGACTGTGTATGATCATTATGCATAACTTGAGGCATGAATAGAGTGAACTTAGTATTTGGCTATGGTTCTTCCTCTTTCATTTTCTCTTTTAAATCAGAAGTACATAGCTCTATTAAAAGTTGAACTTGGTTTTTCAAGAGATCAGAAAGGTTGTTTTTAGAGCTGGCAGCATCTTAGAAAAAAGTGCTTTTCAGTTAAGAAAATTATTCCAAAGAACTTTTTTGCCAGAGGAATCTTGAAAAATTGCACGTTTTTTAAAACTTTATAATCTATAAACCTATAGCTTCATGATAATTTTGTTTTTTGGCCAATAACATTCTCTTCTTTTTATTGAATTTCTTTTTTTAAATGGTCTCGAAGAAATCTTGGTATGCTTTCCCATTGGAAGAAATGTACCCTGTGCTCTTCTGTTGAATAGCTTTCTAATATTAAGGATATCCTTGCTTTAAAAGAAAAAAAAAATGAACATTTGTGGGCAGGGTACATTTGCATTTAAGCATTATTTTCTGAGACTTGTAATATGGAATGATTTATTTTAAAGGGCCCTGAAGGTAGTTTCCTCTAAATTAGAGACTTCTTAGAGCTTGCTGGGTAAACTGTGGATTTGGTTTAGAACCTAGCCCCTGTCAGTCTTTAAGTAAAAAAAAGGACAAAGGACAGAGGTTAGGAAATGGTAAAGAACAACTTGAGGGTTTCTTTTAGAAATTATTTATATTTGTTTTTTGGATATCTTTATAATTTATTTATTTAAAATTTATTATGACTATGATTATGATTATTATTAAGTGAGGAGATTTCCTTTATTTTGACACATTTGTTCTTTCATTGGTAGGGGATAAGAAGAGGAAGTTAGTAATAAACTTTTGAGGGCAAAACTTGATATAATCTGTTTGTCCTTGAATTTTAAGCGTAAGGACCAAGTGTACCCCATTGAGAAGCACCTCTCCATTCCATTGAGATATTTCTGTTTATTTCCCATTTTTAATAAAATGAACTGATAGATCCCTTTTAAATCAGTGAATCTCAAATTATGCTCCTTGGGATGTTAGGATGAAAAGGTTTGTGATCATGATAGATGATTTTCTCTCTATTTACTTATCACCTTCTAGTAGCTAGAATTCAGTCATACTGAAAAACAGTGCAGAAGAGTTTGAAATCCCTTACTTTTAAGACAGCAGATTGAAAGACGATGATCTGATCTTTTGGGTTGTTGGCAAAGCAAAGATATGTTAGGTATTGTATGTTATATAATAAAACTCATTGTTTTACTAACTTGTCTGGATTTCTGGTTGAGAGGGAGTGTGATAAGTTGGAAAAGTTTTCAAATCAGGTAGATTTAGGTAAGAACCTCACCTCTATCATCTTCCATCTGGGTTGCTCAGAAAAGTTATTGCATCTTTTCGAATCTCAGTTTATCAGCCATGAAGTGGACATGGCAGTATTTCCCTCACAGGCAATGTTTAACCATTGTGTGTGGCACGTAGTATATACCTAGTGCCTTGGTTCTTTTTCCTTCAATTACTGGTTTAGAAGATCAACAGATGCTTACCCACCTTATACTGGGAACTTAAAGGTACAGTGAAAAAGGTTTGTTATTGAATTTAAGCTACTCTACATTTAATCACAGGAAAACATGCTTAGCACCAATTAGTGTGACCCACACATTGATGGATGTATGTTGTGTTTAAAGAAGATTAGCCCATGGTATCTTTCTTTAGGATTTTATACTCCAGCTATTTGTATTTTGCTTTAATAAAGTATAACCAGTTCTCTTTGGAAATTCATTTTTAAGATGTAAGGTTTTATTAGAAAAATTATTGATTCTTACCATTGTTCTTAATTCTAAATTTCTAGCAGAGTAAAGGCTTCTCCAAGCTGTGTGTTCTCTTAGAAAATTTCACATGTAGTATGTCCAGCAAGGTAATTGCATCCTTGGGCTTCTACAAAGAAAGCACAACAGGGGCAAGCATCTTTGGAGAATCGAGTTTATTTTACAGCTGTTTCCTTTTTTTGGCCTGGAAATCAAGTGGTCTGCTGTGGTTCTGTTTTTCTTTATGTGATAGTAGGTGTTGGTGTTTCATTCTCTCTGTCTCTCCCTCCCCCCACCCCCTTCTTTTTTTCCTTTCTTTCTTTTCTCAATTAAACAGGGCAAAGTTTAAACATGTTGTTCAGTCTATTTCTGAATCACTGGCAAGCAGTTAATTTTGAGGACTGAAAATTAAAACTAACCACAACACTTGTTAAAACTAGGGTTTCTATAGGCAGAAATCCAATTCTGTTCAGACACCACCTGTTTCAATAGGACATTTCAGACACCCATTTGGCAAGATTTGCTGGAGAAGACATGGGGAACATGCTTTCAGACTGTATTAAGTCTGCAGCATAATGCAGTCATGTTTCTCAGAGTGACAGTTACATTTATATATGATCTGTTTTTGCAAGGAATAAATTGGAATCTTTCTGACACACTCTTATT